TCATCGGGTCCCTCAGGCCTCCTGTATGATGCTCCTCAGAGGAAAGCTCTCGAGTCTTAGTCTTTCCATCCTTTCCTTCCTTGGCTCCCTCCAGAAAGTCCAAGTTGTTCGGCAGAGAGGAAGTTATTGAACATGTGTAATAGTTGTCATCTGTGTTGAGGTGAGCGAAGGATGTCTCTGAGGAGCCTACCTTGACCTCTCCCTCAGTCAGTGACTGTCACTGTCGAGGCTCACTTCTGGCAGATGGCAGCATTATGAGCCCCACCATCTCTCTCAACCCTGCTAACTCTTTGCTTTTGGGGTTTGTTTGTTTGTTTTACAACATACTCAGATATATCTTTATGTTCACCCCATGGCAATTTACTTTTTTCCTCTCCTTCATTTGGCCTATTCAGGAATTTAATTCAGTTTCCTATTGGTATGTTTTTGTTTCCATTTCTAAGTCTTTCAAGTAAGAAGTATGATCAGCATGTCCTACAGAGCTGGATCTGTCTGTTTTTCTTGCTCCACCTGAGATCATCAGAAGGTCCTAAAAGGGAAGTTCTCATCTTTTCTTCCAGCCATCAGTTTGTCCTCTTTTTCTTTCCAGGTTGTGTCAACGCTGCTCATAAACATAATCCCAGAGGACCACATCCCACTAAATTTATCTGGAAAGGCAAAAATCAGTGGGAAAGCGTGGGTGAAGGAAGCTCCTCGTCCTGTTCCCGGATTTAACCCTGACTCAATGTGCGAGTCCCAGGTACGGCCATCCAGCTGTCTGGGTTAGAGACTTCTAGTCCTGTGTGTAGATAAATTGACTTAAAACAGAGACAGAAATGGAAGCACACTCATAGAAACAGGTGCCATGCCTGAGATGAGGAGGAGTCGTGCCTGAGAAGAGGAGGAGTTGTGCCTGAGTTGGTGTCAGTGTTTTTGTTGGAAAGAGTCAGGATTGATCCCTAGTATTTGAACCTTAGCATGAAATTGACAACCGGCTTAGGAAGATTTCTCCAGCAGAAAGGCTGGAGTTGATTCTGCAAAACTTGGAAATGCAGAGCCTACGTTTTGCCTTAAGACCACTGAGTGGCTCAAGATAATCGAACTGCTGTGAGGCCCACACTCCCAGCTCTGAGGCTTAGGAGCCAGGCCTCAGGAGGGCAGTGAAGCCTGGGCGCTGAGATGCTGCAAGAAAGCAGTCTACACCGAAGACTCAGGCCTCTGCGTGTTCTCCACGGGCAGTATCCTAGTCCCCAGCTCACAATGTGCTTTGTAACAGGGTGTTAAGGAACATTCCATTCAGACCCGAAGCTGCCACTTTTCTTTCCCTTTATAGATCATACATTTAATGCGTGCTACATCGGGCAGCTAGAAATTCTTTTCTTTTAATTAGCTTTTAATGCTTTATCTCAACTTTATGAAAATACAAATTCAGGCCTTACAGGACATTAGAAAGGCTTCGTTGTTATTCTCAGTGTGCAAGGAAGGAGGAGTGCTTAGGCCAAGGTCACTACTCCAAGGTTGAAGCTCTAAATGTTCTTATTTCCAGTCACAACGTCTTCATCAGGAGTACTTGACCTTAAGTCAGTATGGGTGGGTGGAGTGAGCAGGGGAACATATAAATACACTGAAGAGAGAGAGAGAGAGAGAGAGTGTGTGTGTTGTGTAGTCCCAAGAAAAAAAAATTTCAAATTATTGGCCTATATGTGCTCACCTCCTTTATTTTAAAAATACGTATATAATCCTAGTTTCATGTATACCCCATATACCCTACTTTTGCGGCAGGTCACAGGTAAGGGACGTTCACAATAAGTTAATGCATGTGGAATAGGGGAGGAGAGGGTGGCTCCCCCAGGAGGCATCACCTGTAGCCGGCACTGGTGGCCTTTCCCTCCGCAGGTGATCATCCGGGAAGGGGAGCTTCTCTGCGGTGTGCTAGACAAGGCACACTACGGGAGCTCTGCCTACAGCCTGGTGCACTGCTGCTATGAAATCTACGGGGGTGAGACCAGCGGCAAGGTTCTCACTTGCCTGGCCCGCCTCTTCACTGCCTACCTGCAGCTCTACAGGGGCTTCACCTTGGGTGAGTGTCAGGCTCGCACCCAGGGCTTGCCTGGAGCAGCGGCCTGGTCCCCCATCTTGTGGCCAGCATGGCGCCAGTCTGTCTCCCTGGCTCTACTGTCCTCCAAGGGAGCAGCCAGGCTCCTTCTACAAGGGCGTCCTCGCTTGGCCACTGGCCTCGCTCCCTCTCAGTGCTGCCCACCCCCTGCCCCAATAGCCAGGGTTTCTTCTTCCTCAACAGCACAGAGTGACCCCCTCCATCCCCACTTCCATTCTAGTCCTTTTTCAACCCCACCCTTTACAATTTTCTGTCCCTCAGATTGATTTCTCGTACTCAAACACACCCCCATTCTCTCCTGTAAGTGCCCTTCCAGAATTCCCTGGACCCTTCCCGCTCTACAGGGGGTCCTCCCTATTGTCAGAATTGCCCAAGCCTTCCCAACGCAGTGGGGGACATCAGCCCTTCTGGAAATACTGTGCTGGGGCAGGCCTGTCAGGGACCCTAAGAAAGGAAGAGGAACTCCCTTGTTTGCTGCCTAGAAATGAGAGCATACTGTTTTAGGAAACTGGCTTGGATGAAGAAAACAAGTGTGCTATCTCCTTCTGTGCACCAGGTAGGATTGACATCAGAAGATCTGCCAAGGGCTCGGCCTCTGGCTGAACAGTCAGGAGACATGGAGTGGAGTCGAGTCCAAGCCCTTTTGCAGTGTTCTTTCTCTGAGCATGAAGTGCGATGTTGTATGTTGAGTGCATGCCACAGCACGTGTGGGTTTGCCTAGTCAGTGATAGCATCGCTGGTGGCAGTAAGGCTCTCTGGGCTTCATGGACCTGCTCGAGTGCAGACGTGGTGGGACCCGGCTGTGGGCCTGCTGCAGCTGCAGTTTGTTCGTTGCCCTGCAGTGGGGCTTCCATTACACATTTTATTCCACTTTTTAATTGTATAATATATTTAATTGTGGGCAAATAAAGAAACATACAGACATGAAAATAATTTAAAATCACCCAGCATCCAATTGACAGCAATAACCACAAATACGGATTTGATGTGCATTCTTCTAGATTTTTCCAGTGCAAATACAATCAGAAAAAAATGGGCTGCTACACTACATACTGTTTTGTAATCTGCTCCCCTGCCCCTGACACTTCCAAATGTATTTATAAATGTCCCTTGGGGTCAGTTAATATAAATCTACATCCTCATATCCAGTGGCTGGAGATGGTTCCATTTGTTTGGATGTTCTGTAGTTTATTTAACTGGCTCAATAACTAAACATTTAGGCTGTTTCTGAGTTTTCACATTTTTGCCGGGTTGAGCACCCTTGGACAGACATCTTGGCATGCCTGTCCAATTACTTGATCAGGGTAAGAATTATAAATTACTAGTCTGTGTGGGGGCTGAAACTCACCCCTATCCTGATATTCGTAATGGGCTTGAACTGCTGATGGAGGCACCTGTGTCCAGGATCACCCGGTTCCTGCTGGGAACCAGACTCGAGTCATTCACTGGGTAACTGAGGGAAATGAAGCAAGATGACTAAGAACCGTGCACTTACAATATGTAAGTCGGTTTCAAACAGTGACCGAGAATAAGCACAAGCATTTCTGCTAACTAGGAAAAGTTCAGATAGCTTTGAAAACGACAGATGGAGGGAGATGCCATACCCAGCTCCCGATGAGGACCAGACTTCACACGCAAGCCATTCTTGCTGCTGTCTCAGCACGCAGGACCAAGAGCAATCGGCCGCCTGAGTGCAAAGACGAGCCGGATGCCGTGAGGCGGAGGAGGAAGCCAGGCCCAGCTGGGAGGAGGGCTTCGAGGGGAAGGTGGCCTGGAGACTAGCATGACCTCCCTGCAGCCATCTCAACCAGAGGGAGTCAGTGAAGGGGACAGCAAGATGGCCTGGAACTGACCCCCTGGAAGGGCCCGCTTTCGTGATGGGGGCTTCCTCACAGAGGGGCTATTTCTTTCCCCTTCTGCTCACACATTCTTTAGAAGCCCTCAGGTTTCCAGGAAATTGCATTGGGAATTCCAGATATTTCTACACCAGCTATTGAACAGCACAGTAATTCGTTTTCCTTCCTGCTCAGGTCCTGGCTGAGGATTTATGTGTGAGTAGCACTCACAGGTATGGGCAAACAGTAGTTGATAGAGTTGAAGTAGACCAGCATACTACTGCCTGATGTGAGGAATTCTTGAACCCTTGGCAGAAGGACGGGCTGAACCGAAGTGACCCATGCTTTCACTCTCCTGAGGTGATCCTGAGGAACCTGTCTGGTGGTCCCTGTCCCCCAGGCCTGAGCGTGTCATCTTCATGTGTGCCTGAACACACATAACACATATTCATAACTATGTAGGGTGTGCCCTGTGGCATGTGACTTCCAGGAGCCAAAACTGGGATGTTCTCTCCTTTCTCTAAACTTGGCTTTTCATATAAAACCTCTTAACCTCTAGCCCATTCATGTAATACAGGTTCATTGAATGGAGGCGGTGTAGCTGGTGACCAAGAGCACAAGTCTGGGGACTCAGGCCTGGGTTTACTATTCTGCCTGTGTGACCTTGGACAAGTAGCTCAATTTCGAGACTTAGTTTTGTTATTTGTAAAATAGGGAGTATAATGTTTGGGCTCTGGTAAGCACAAGAGGAGGTAGCCATCTGTTAATAATGATGCTAGTATCATCACTGTTCAGGTGCTTCCTGTGTCTGTGGCGCTGGGCTCTGTGCCCTGACTTCACCGTGTTTATAGTCTGGGGAGAAGTCAGTCCTGGTCCCCTCTGACTTGTCTGTTTCACTTCACAGGCGTGGAAGACATTTTGGTGAAGCCGAAGGCGGACATCAAGAGACACAGAATCATTGAAGAATCCACCCACTGCGGCCCCCGGGTAAGGAGGGACTGGGGGTGATGGCCTGCCGTGGAGTGGTCAGGTGTCCTACAGGATGACACCCACACCCTCCTCATTTGGCTGCAGCCTGCGATGTCTTCCTTTTCTCATTCTAGGCTGTCAGGGCTGCATTAAACCTGCCAGAAGCTGCATCACATGATGAGGTACGAGAGAAGTGGCAAGATGCCCATCTGGGCAAAGACCAGAGGGATTTTAACGTGATTGATCTGAAATTCAAGGAGGAAGTGAACCATTACAGCAATGAAATTAACAAGGTTAGTTCAGCACTGCATGCACTTATCCCCACCGTTTTGAATGCTAATTTTTTTAAGAATTACATTTTGATTCTTGCCCGGGGCCCTTTGGAGCAATTTGGCTGCTTAACAGCTGACTAGGTGAAATGTGAGATGGGACAGATAGAATCCATCGTTTTGAATAGCACAGGGTTTCATTCCCTCATCCAGGTAGGGTCTGGAAAGGCCTTGGATTAATGTTAGAGTGAATGCTTTGCACTGTTGTTCTTTTTATGTTTTTATCTGGGGGTAACTGCATTAAAGGGTGCTGAAGAAAGACATCTTTCCTATGGGGTCACTGTAGGTGGACCCACAGGAGGAAGAGCCCAAACCACCACTGGAGCTTGTGCAGCGGAGCCAAAGTGAAGGCCTGGGCTCAGATCCTGGCTCTGCCTCGTGCTTGCTGTGTGACCTTGGGCAACTGATGTAACTACTCTGTGCCCTGGTTTTCTCACATGGAAGTAGGGATGTGAAGAGTACCATCTCCCAGGGTTGCTAAGAGGATTAAGGAGTTAAAAAACACAATGCCAAGCAATTCCTGTGGCAGTTGAGGAAAAAGAGGAAATCTCTGCTTGAGCCAACACCACAGCCTGGTTCTCCCTGCCTTCCTGTCCCACAGCCAGGACTTGCCATCCTGTAGCGTAGAGGAGCCAGCCTGGCCCTCACTCCACCTCCTGGGCCTTGGGGCCCATCCTGAGGAGGAGGCAAGGCTAGTACTCACCAAAAGTCAGAGTTTGTCTGTGGTGTCCTCTTGCCTGGCTTTCAGCACGCTTATTAGGCTGCCAAGATGACAGACCTCTTGTTGGTGTGAGTTCTGTCCTAGGAGGTTTTATTCAGAGGAGCCTGCCCAGCCCTCCCGGAGAACCAGGAGGCTCAGCTTCCAGGGTGGACTGGGAATGCTGGGGTGGGGGAACTGTCTTCAGAGGCGTCATAGAGTGGCTTCGTGTCTCTCCGCTTCTCTTCCCACCACCTCTTCCCATCCAGGCTCTGCCACTTCTATGCTGGGCTGGGTCTCTGCAGCCCCAGGCAGAGGCTTAAATAGACTCAGCCCTCTTACCAGCATCTCACCAGGCTCCCACTTGCCTTGCTGACTTTCGATGGCCCTGGAGGCGAGGCTCCCCAGCTGTGCTCAGGCAGCATGTCAGTAAATGTGAATACGACACAGATGTTGGTAATCATTGCTGGTTATGTGGGGACCAGGCCATGCTCTGTTGCGCAAATCACAAGGGCCTCCCCTGAAATTTTATTCTTATCCAGCTTCTTTTTAGAGGCACAGCTGGATATGTTTGCCCCTCTGCTTTTCCTTCTCCCTTTTTGCTGCCGTTTGGCCAGTGACTGGAACCTTGGGGTTCCCAGAAGAGGATATCAGGAGAGGTCAGGGCAGGGGGCACCCTTTGACTTCTCTCTAGGGGTTCTACTGAAAGGATTGATGTCAAGTGAGACTTTCCCTCACCTCCAATGGGATTTGGTGCTTATCTCTGGATAAATATTCTGGATTTTTTGTTTCTGCATCCTGGATTTACCTCCTGAACCTGGATGTTAAAAGAGGGTGAAGTCACTGACAGATGTGTTGATTTAATCTGCAGGCATGCATGCCATTTGGCTTGCACCGACAGTTCCCAGAGAACAACTTGCAGATGATGGTGCAGTCGGGAGCCAAAGGTTCAACTGTGAACACGATGCAGGTGTGAGCAAAGGCGGGTTGGCAGGTTTGCTGGTGGGTCAGGTGATGGCAGGAGGCGGTTCTCAGGTTCGTTTCTGATTTTAAAAGGATCCACTTTCGGGCCGGCCCGGTGGCGCCCCTAGCAGTGCGCCGCTTGGGAAGTGCGGCGGCGCTCCCGCCGAGGGTTCGGATCCCACATAC